CCACCGTGTCTCCCACCGTGTCACCCACCGTGTCACCCACCGTGTCATCCACCGTGTCATCCACCGTGTCTCCCACCGTGTCACCCACCGTGTCCTCCACCGTGTCACCCACCGTGTCACCCACCGTGTCACCCACCGTGTCTCCCACCGTGTCTCCCACCGTGTCTCCCACCGTGTCACCCATGGTGCACAGCTTTTGTCCGGGGAGGGTGGAGCTGGTAGGATTTTGTGGAGCGGAGGGCTCGTGTTGATGTCTGAGCTGTTCTTTAAGATAATATGGAGCGTTGCCCTGAATGGACTGGTGGGTGAGTGAGGAAACCTTGAATCAGTTTGGAGTGAAATGGGAATCCAGTGGATTCAGGATTGGGCTGGTGTGATCACGTTTCCTTTGCTTCATCAGAGCTCTGGCTGCACTGAACTGCACGTACTGAAGTTTCTGAATGTGCTTGGATGGAATTCCATAAAAAAAGTGTGTTGCAGAAGTTTTGAGGAGATGGAAGCATGGACGATACTTCTAAAACCACTTCCAACAGACTCCAGTACCCACCAGTTAAATGATGAAGATGATGAGGTTGCTGGACAAGTTCTTCCTCACTTCTCAGCTCTAGCGCCCGTTACTGCTTTAATCACGGAGCAGAAAATCCGAACTCACCTTTCCCAAACCATCATCTACATCTCCTGTTCCACCAACAAGTACGTTTTTTATAGTTTAAACATGTCCAGCATCTGTGACTGAGAGAACGGTTCTTATTGAAACAGATAAGCAGCTTGTAGGCACTGAAAGTTAACTTCTAATAAAGACTTTGTGGTGTCGCACACAACATCCCAGCTGTGATGAGCCTCAAACTAAGATTTATGATGAGAACAAAGTGGACTTTCCTGTTCACGGCCAATCAATGCTGGTCTTTCCGTGTTCGTATGAAAGTCAAACATCCAGCTCAAGTGCTAATGGACAAAGGACTGCAGTGAGTGGAGTGGGAGTTGAGTCATTAAGGAAAAGTAATGAAACGACGACAGACCAAGCCTTTGAGAGTGGAGCACGGCGAGCGGAATAGTCCTGGGATACAAACAGGAGAAGGTTAGTGAGATGGAGATGTTGCATGTTCTTTATGAGGGTTCACTTTCTGCTCTCTTTGTCCTTTATCTCTTTAGGAAGTCAATTTGCTGCGGGGGATGATATTTTCACTTTAAAGCTCTTATCCTAAGGGAGAGACGTAACCTATACAGGAGAGCGCTGCATGATAACGTGGGGTGTCTTTCATTCTGTTGAATAGCAGAAGTTGAACGCTCCTGGGAGGATCGAAACGAGCGCGCTCGCTGCTCGTCTTCCTCAGCCGGGCTTCTCGTGCTCGGACCTTTCAGGGCTGAGCTCCATAGCAGCTTTCTGGACAGACGAGGCAAAGACACAGAATATCAAGTCAGTTGCAGCAATATTTATTTTCTGATTTACAATGGCCTTGTCCTGACTCCTGATTTGTGGCTCGAGTGCGTTCCAGAGCTTGCTCTAACATTTTGTATGCTCTGCACACACTTATCTCCAGTCCAGGCAATCATGACTGAATTTAGTTTCTTTATCGATTTTAAGCCATGGAACCGTTTTGATTAAAAAAAAGTGCTTTACACAGAGAGCTCAGATGTTCATCACATTTATGAGCTTGTGTGCTCAGGAAGTGAACATGATGTAGTGATCTTTAATTTGTCTGAACAAATATTGAACTGAAAAAACTCCCACATAATAAAATTTGTCATGCCCGTTCCCGGGGGGAAAGAGGCTGGTTTGAGGAAGGCACAAAAATCTTTATCTGTCAAATCTATTTTATAAATTTTACAATGCACTTTTTTTAAATATTGGAAATTGTCTTTTTGCTGCAAAGCTTGAGCAGCCCCCAGTTGTGTGAGAAGATGACAGCGAGTGGATGAATTCAAGCAGAAATCCAGGTCAAGGTTGGGTTGTGTCAGTAGATGGCAGCAGAGAGCAGCTGGCCAGAGCTCCTTCAGTCTTGTACAAAATAATTACATTGAGACTGCTTGATTAAAATGTCTTTAGGAGGTTATCCTTTTTAAAGCTTTGATGCTTTAATTTATTAAAATAATCCTAATTGTGTGTAACTTGACTCCTATAAAACGTGTTTAAGTGTAAAAATGTGACTGATTTGCACAGGATTTATTTCCCCCTCTCAGGAACATTGATGTGGTTTGGAAACACGTTTGAGTCCGCTCTTCCTTCCTGTGTGATCTTCAGTGTGGGAGTTGCTGGGCGTTCAGCGTGGTCGGTGCCGTCCAGTCGGTCGGGGCGATGGGCGGCTCGCGGCTGCAGCAGCTCAGCGTGCAGCAGGTTGTCGACTGCTCCTACAACAACGAGGGCTGCAGCGGAGGCTCCCCCTCCCAGGCTCTGTCATGGCTGAAACAGGTGTGTGGCTCTCTGGACAGAACTTGATGTTTGTCATAAAGCTGGATCAACAGTGAGCTCTGATCTTTATTATGGATGTCCAACATGTTCTGCATTGCTCTGAGCAGCTGTTTAAGATGATCTACAATCGCTCATATTGCGCACGTGTGAATAGGCACCGGCTCCAGAATGGATGACTATATGCATCTTTAAAAAATAGATTTATAAAATGGATCACAGTTTTCTATTTTTATTCAGAGCAAAGTGAAGTTGGTGCCTCAGTCCGAGTATCCGTACAAGGCCGAAACGGGAATCTGCCATTTCTTCCCTCTGACATACGATGGCGTCGCTCTGAAGAACTACACCGTGCACAACTTCAGGTAACCTTTTCTTGTTTTAGAAAGTTCAAGCAGTAACTTGTCGTTTATAATCATTCACGAGGAACCTGCAGAAAGAGTGGGCGCTGCCGGTGCCGTCCAAAGACAAAGTTCAGTTTAATTCAGTCAACAAGGAAAAGGTTTCTGACTTTGGCTCAGCTTCTGCAGGCCACACGCTGCTCCGACTTATTGTAAAATGGATATTCTTAATGTGATAATTAAAAAATTAACTCTTAAACACACGTTGGTTTCTATTTTTCCCTCCGGTGTGATGTAGGTTTAGGGCTGTGCTCGGAGACTAAATGAAGCTGATGCAGTTTTGATTTGAATGCAGCTGAGCCTTTGAGTTTCGGTTTATAATCTTATTTAACAGCTTTTTCATGTTTCCTCTAAAGCCGTTTGCTTTAGCTAGAATTTACTTTATTAAAAAATCTAAACAGTTTTTTTCTGACCAAGTTCTTCCTTTCATTTTGCTTAAAAAGATTAAATGTAGTATCTTCAAGCCATCCCAGCTATAATTTATGAAAAGCAGACGCACAAAGGCTTTACGCAGGTTTGTTAATGTTTTACAGCTTGATTTAACTTTGTAAGTACAGCATCAAATAACTTCAGTGTCTTTTCCCCCAATTCATTGCAAAAGAGAATTTCCAACAGAGAGAATTAGCATCAAGAGTACGATTACACAGGAAGGCAGCCTGACTCGTTATAAATCTGAAAGTAATAATCTTCTCACGTGCAAACGAGCATAAATCACTTGCCAGGGAAATGGGAGGATGAGTGATGCCGTGGCCTGGTGCCGGGTGGTTTGTGTTTCCACCAGCTGGCCTGCGCTCTCATCCAGGCAAAGAGTCCAGTAAGCCTCTGCTTAGCACAACACGACCACTGGCAGCTGAAGAAGGCAGTGCTGGAGTGTTTGCACCGCTGCTGCAGGTCCCTGGATCTCATCAGAAGACCTGGACCATCTTAAAGGATTCAAGGAAGACTAATCACTGCACCTCAAACTCTGAGTTGTAGCTTTGCTGTTAAAGATGAAGAAATGCACGTGAGACCAAACGTCTAAGAATTTGTCATGATTCTGCTCGGTCTCAGCTGTGAAGCCGTCATGAGCACAAAGGGACCAGTGAGACGGTAAACATGGATCACAATCTCAGCAAGAAGTTTGGATTGATGCGCCAAACACAGCCTGACGTGCACTGTTCAAGCTTCATCTCCACAAAGTCTGTTTACAGTTCTGAACTTATCGTGTCGTTACGAACAGCTGATGGTGGAGTCAGACTCGTGATTTAGAGTGAAATGTTCTCTGCGCTCGAGTTCATGTCGGAGGCTTCAAGAGAACAAGATGATAAAACACGACACAAAAATGTTTATGGGGAACAATTCGTCATTTGTCAATAAAATAAAAAGTTTTACATTTCAGAGGTAAAATTGTCGCAGTGTAACAGAAAGACGTAGATCTCAGAGCAAAGAACCTGATGTCATTTAAAAACTCAAAATGATTTAATTCTGTTTTATTCATATTTATTCACTCTATTTCTACAGGTTAGGCTCACTGAGTCACGAGGACTCTTATAAAGGAGACGTGTTTTACACAGATAATAAAGTACACACAACAATAATTCAACAAAAAGTAATTAAAATAAAAAGTTATAAACAGTCGGATCAAGATCCATATAAAGACGATCAAATACTAAAAACAAGAACAAGTTTAGAGCTCACCACAGCCCTGAATCTGATGAAGTTATTCTCATGTCCTCAGACAATGGACAGGTGTCTCCACTGGTCCTGTTAGACCTCAGTTGATGCAGTTCATCACAATATTTTACTACAGAGACTTGAATATGATGGAATTACAGGAACGGCTCTAAAATGTTTTAAATCATATTTATCTGATAGATTCCAGTTTGTAAATGTAAATAACGAATCTTCATCATACACTAAAGTTAGCCATGGTGTTCCTCAGGGTTCAGTGCTTGGATATATAATAATAATTGGATACATATAATTCCAATTCACAGCTAAAGGGCAGTTTGCAAAAGAATGAACATAAACCCGAATCATAGATTCAATTCAGTTCTATATTCAAATCCAGTTAGAGCCAAATAAATTTATATTTTAATACAGTGCATTCACAAACAGCACTTTATGAAATGCCAGTTAGTAAAAGTTATTTGTTTAATGAAGCCAAAGGATCGTGTTGAAGCTTCTCTTTGTCTCGGTTCTTCATCTGAGCTGCACGTTGGTATCAAGCAGAGCAAACTGTCGTTAATTATTATTACATTTTTAACAATATTATTTCTGATCCATGCGAATGATCGCTCTTTAATACTTTAAATTAGGCATTAAGTTGTAGCTTAAATCTAGTACAATTAAACATAACCGTGTTTTCTTTATCTGCACGTCATTATATTGTTTTTTTGTGTTCAAACTGCATCTCGTACCTAATTTATTCATCTTTTTTTGCTTTCCTTTATTATTTGAATAAAGTTCCTCTGCTTTCCTTTGAATTTGCTCTGTTCCATACAAACACTCTTTGCCTTGTTAACCACAAGTTAAAAGTAAAGACGATTTCCAGACAGTAAATGTCAATGTCACGCTGCCACTTGAATTGCTGCTCTACCCTTTTCAACAGTCCTCTGATCCGGCATGAAAACGCTCCTTTGACCTGCCCCCGTCTTCTGGAATTGGACGTCACTGCGAGGAGGAGTCTCATCGGGGGGCCGCGTCTTTACCGCCGCGCAGCAAAAAGACAAACACCATCATAAAGTCAAAGTGGTTCAGTGCGGTTCGCCACATGGAAACGGGCGCCGTAGATCATGTGTAATGAGCCTGGCAGCGGAGGGCATCGCAGATACCCCCAGTGGGAATCATCTGGCGGGATGACAGGAAGGGGTAGCCGAGGGGGGCCGGCATATGTTCAACATAGTAAGAAGAAAGGAGAATATGTGAAATACTTGTTCAAAAGCAGATGGACTAATGAGGAAAAAAGATGGATCCTAGATGGATCCTGATGCGGAGAGGATGGTGAAGGAAAAGTTTGAATATTCATCACATCTTTTCTTATACTTTACCAAACTTTGTTCCTCAGCCGACTTTAACAATTCTCAAAACAAAGCTGGGAACCTCAGGAGATGTGGCTGTGCTCCTCAGTGGTCAAGAGGAGGCGATGATGGGTGAGCTGGTGCAGTCCGGGCCGCTGGTTGTAGTCGTGGACGCCGTCAGCTGGCAGGATTACCTGGGGGGCATCATCCAGCACCACTGCTCCAGCCGCTGGTCCAACCACGCTGTTCTGGTTGTTGGATACGACACGACCGGTACGAGCTGCCACCACGCACGCACACACGGAGTCACACCAACGTGCACATGCAAAGATGATGTGGAAGTCATGACACTGCCCACAACACAGAAATAAATGTGTCCGAATCAGATTTACAGAGCTAAAGGAACCTGATGTTTCCTGTGTGGAGTCAAATGCTTCCATGACGCTTGTTTTTGTTTAATTTGTCTTAGTGCAGCTAAAAACAACTTTTTCTGCTAAATTTCTTTATTATGTAATAAAGAACATAAAGCTGAAGCACCCCTTTTAATGATTTTGTGCGCGGCGACCTTTCAGTCCGTGACTTGAGAAGTTGATCTTATCTCTGAACCAGCGGTCATCAGAGATGAACCGGGTTTCACAACGTGAGCCTAAAGCTGCCTGGACCCCGTCACATCCATGGACCGGTGTCGACGTGCTCTACAACAACATGTTTACAAAAGTTATGTCACCCTTTGGATTCACAAACTGTATCTAATGTGTGGTTGTAGATGATCCCTCATCTGTTTAAAGCCACAGTTAGTTGTTAACGTTTGACAGTTTAAACTTCCCTGACCCGGGTCTTTGGGGCCAGCTGTCTCAGTTTAACTTCTAAACACAGATTTACAACAGCAGCATTCTTTTTTCTTAGCATGAATAATTTCACAGGCGTGTTCTCAAAGTGCACAACAGCAAAGTGATTATATAACAGAATAAACACACTGCAGTGCGTCTTTAAACCTTTCAGTCATGACAGGCGTGTTTGTGCTGCAGGGGAGATCCCGTTCTGGATCGTGCAGAACTCCTGGGGAACCACATGGGGAAACGAGGGTTATGTTTACGTCCAGATCGGTGCTAATGTCTGTGGTGAGCTCATTTCTCTTGTTTCATACGCTGCCTGGTGCATTCACATCTCTGTGTTCCGTAAACCCTCGTGGATTAATCATCCGCTTTCGCTTTTCTTTCCAGGCATCTCCGACTCTGTGGCCGCCGTTTTTCTTTGACGCTTTGTCTCTGAGGTCATCACGTGTGTGAGCGATGGTGGGGGGCGTACCAGTGCAAAAAGGAAACGCGTCAGGGTGTCACTTTGAGTACCACTTTTATTGAAACGTAACCGTTTTGCATCACTACAACAAAATAAATCCATATGTTTGCAAGTGTTTATATGTATAACAGCGACAGAAAGCTCGACTGCAAAACTGCAACACGTTCACTGTACAAAACACGACAATCTTATTAAATACACTACAAAAGATACATTTGAGAACTCGTACAAAACCCCGATAATTAGTCCATAAATACATAACAAAATTATCTTATATATTTATAATATTATACAAAACATGTCTGAAGCATGCTCCATAATCAGGTAGATAAACGTGAGCGGGTTCAGGCGCGTCCTCGGACTGACTGAAGACCTGAACTGAAGCGGCTACAACCATAATGTTATCCACACCTCTTACATTTCGTCATAATGAAGCTGTGCAGGCACGTTGACGTGACTTCTTCCTGTCTACTCCTTATCTTCACCTGCGTTTCATGCGAGTCTGAAACGCCCCCGTGACGTCCTCACATGAAACCTTCATGTAAACCCCAGTAGCATTGTGTCTCACTCGAGCTTTGATCATTCCTCCCACAGATCTATTTGCCTGCAGGTCAGTTAATTTACATTTACATTTATTTAGAGAACATCTAAACCGTTTTCAACGAGAAGCCGTCTGCAGAACTTTGTGCCTCAAAGTCAAGATTAGAGAAAAAAAAAAAAGAGACTGATTTGGCTTCGTAAAATATCATGTCAGATTTTTTTCAATAAATTGCAACAATTTGTAATATACAGTATATACATATATATATATATATATAATTTTTAGCAGACACATTTGTTCCCACCGTTAGGAGAACATGAGTTTTTGGCAGTAAACTTCTCCCAGGTACGTTGAGCATTTGCCACCCCAACGATCTGCGTCCTGGTCCCGCTGGGCCCAGGTCGCTCTAACGTTAGCGCACGTGGTTTAAGGCTGCAGCGTTTTCTCACAGGGACGAGAAGCCAGGCAGAAGACTGAGACGCGCTCTAGTCTGAGTCGTCACTGCTGCCGTACGAGCTGTCGCAGCACTCGGCCATGTAGAGGAAGGTATGAACGTTGGGGTTCAGTTTGGGCACCCAGTGGCGAGGCACCAGGAACGTTGCCAGATTAAACAGGTCCACAAACACTTTGTAACGATCACTGAAGGAAAGAAAATCATAGATTATAAGTTATGTGATCATAAAACTGTAATAATTTTCTAAATGGCCTCTTCTTTGTTGCCATGCAGAACACTGCCGTGTGCTTGCAGTGCTCAATGATGGAGGTTTAAACCAAACGTTACCTGACAGTAGAACGCAGGTAGTGGTAGCCAGAGGAGCCCCCTGTTCCTGCTTTGCTGCCAATCATCCGGTGCACCATGCACACATGATTGTCTTCAAAAAGAGCAGAAGTTCACAGCGTTTGGTTTAATGAGCTGCGGTTTAACCGTGCGTGTTCAACTTGTAGAGTAAGACGCTGCGAGTCCGACAGAACTCAGTTTTTAACTTTGTGCACTCTCCTGCTCAGTCCAGCTCAAGCTTTAGACAAACTTTGACAAACTACTGGTGGAAACATTTATCCGTCAGACAAACAAAATACTCACATCTCCATTTAGTCATGAGGGTGTCGATGTCCATGAGGGACGTGAGCAGCTGGAAGGGAACCTGGAACCTCGGCTCTTCCCTTGGAATGGAAGAGAACTTGATGTTTCACTGGTTTCATTAAACCACATTTTAATCACCTTAAAAATAAGAGCATCTGTCACCTGTTCACCACCTACAGCCCCGCCGCTTTGCACTAATTATCACTTTGCAGTGACTGCTGCATGACTTTGTGTGCTCTGCTGAAGCCTTAATTAGCCTCATGTGACGTTCTGTCTTCACCGCGTGTGTTTTGCATGTTTAGCCTGTTGAAGCATCCTCAAAACAAAACTGCTGTCGGTGTCTAGAATTTGATGGGTGACACGTTTTTAAAACGGGGCTTGTGTCATGGACGTTTATACAAGAGGAATTCAACCCACGTGTTCTTAAATCAGGTCTCGTTGGAGGTGCCTGCTCCTCTCAGGTGTAAAAAAGTGTAAACTGTATTAAAACAGTGCAAATTGTGTATTTTTTGCTCGATAATTACAGGTGGAGCCATTAAATACTGCTCTTACCTGTAGAAGTAGATCATCAAAGCACCTTGGAGAGCCTTGTAAGAGAGCCGCCTCTCACCTGGTTACCAACGTGGACATATTATTTTCTTGTCTTTATTTTTACATATTTGAGTTTGAAGTAGGGATTTTGAGCGAGCTCAAAACAAACGGACACTTCTGTAAACGGCTACCTTTGCTGACCAGGTGGTCATGGCGCTTTTCATCGAACAGAGACGTGAAGAGCTCCCTCTGTTTGACGAGCTCGGCCATCAGCTCCTCCTTCTCCTCCGATTCTGGCATTTTCTATAAAAATAAGTGATAGTCGCAAACAAAAATACAAGTCCTGTCAATCATCTGTGTGCTCCAGGCGAAGCAGGGAAAGTTTGTTCTGGGAGCTCGAGTCATTTCTTACCTCGATTTTCTCCTTCTCCACATTCAACCCATCAAATATATTGATTTGCAGCTTTTCCCAGAAATTGAATCCTTCCACCTTCAAGCCTGGAGTTCTCTCCAGCCACTCCTGAAACAACAGCCCAAAGGTTTCATGACATTTACCCTCGTCAGTGGCACATTAGCTTCTCTGGGGCAGAAGCAGCCGAACATTACCCTGATGTTAACTAGAGAAATTGCATTTCCTGCAACAATGTGAATACTTAGAAGAACTTGCTGAAAAACAGCTGAAATTAGCTAAAAACTATGCTGAAATGGAAGAACAAGCCTAAATTAGCAGAAGAAAGCAGGAAGGACACATATATGCTGAATTAGGTTTAAACAAGCAGAAATTAGCACAAAAAAATAGGAAATTAATTAAAAAAGCTGAAATTAGCATAAAAATTAGGAAATTAGTTTAAAAAAACTCTTAAATGAGCAAAAAGCTGAAAAGGCAGAAAGAAGCTTAAAAAGAAGCAGAAACAGCTGAAATGAGCCCTAAAAATGTGGAATTAACTGAAAAAGATTAACATGAAAACAGCTAAATATTAGCTGAAAGAGCAGAAAAAGCTGAAAGTAGCAGACATATCTCGAAAGGAGCATAAGGAGCTGAAATGAGCAGAAAATAAGTTAATTAGGCTGACAGTAGCAAAAATTACCACAAAAAAAATGGGAATTAATCTGAAAACAGCTGAAATTAGCTACAAAAATGCTAAAAAGCTGATTAAAGCTAGAACAAGCTTAAATTAGCAGAAAAAGTTAATTAGCCTAAAAGAAGCAAAAATAAGCAAAAAGTGGAAATTATCTGAAAAAAGCTGAAATTAGCATACACACATGCACGCACGTGCACACACACACACAAAGCAGCTGAAACGTATCTAAAAAAGCAGAAAGACTGAAATTACATGAAGGAAGTAGAGTGTGCACATTTTAGCTGAATTGGGCTGAAAAAAGTTTTAATGAGTACAAAAAATGTGGAGTTAGCTGAAAAAGCTTAAATTAGCATAATGTAGTAGCTGAAATGGTAGAAAAAGCTAAAACTTGCAGAAATAAGCTGAAAGGAGCAAAACAAGCTAAAAAATAGCGGAAGAGTTAGAACAAGCACAAAAATGTTGTAGCTAGCAGAACAAAGCTGAAAGGAGCACAAAACATTTAAAATAAACTCCCAGCTGAAAGTAGCTGAAAAATGTTTAAATTTGCAGAAGGAAGCTGAAAGAAGCTGAAGCAGAAGAAAATGTGAAAGGAGCAGGAAAAGGTTGTAAACACATCTAAAGATGTAAAATGAGCTCGATTCATTTTCTATGAGAACAAAATGACAGGAAAGGCTAAATATTTCAAAAAGCTAAAGTTGCACCAACACCAAAAGTCAGCGTTTTTGTCCTGAAAGAGCCGAACGTTTTATGATTTGTTGAAATAGCTGAAAACTGCGGGACGAGCATCACGCCGAAAACGTGCAGAAGAAAAATGTCTGACAACAGTGAGAATGCTTGATAAACATTCAAACTAAGTGAAAGTAGAAAGACCCGTGTCTGTGAGACGAACCTCCACCAGTTTTAGAAGAGTTGGCTCCTGCTCTGTTTTCAGAACCATCTCACTCTCGTGGCCTTTGAAATTGTCTCTGTAATGCCGTCTGTTGTACGGAACCCTCAGGTTGTCCGGCACCCCGATTTTGTTCTCCAGGAGCCGAAACTGAAGACTTTGGAAGCCAGAGGCTGGAGACAGGTACTCTCTGTGCACACCAATGAGCATTAAGTGCACGTCATGCCCCCAGAGCAAACCAACTTGAGGTGCCGCTTATAAAAATTTTAGTGATGAAGTGGAGAAGGCTAGAAGTTATTTATGAGTTTACCTAAAGTCAAAAAAGTCCAAGGCTGTCATTGTTTCCAGAACTGCAAATTGGTCGACCAACAGCCTGAAGATCATCACGATCCTGTGGATGCGAGTGTTGACTTTGAGCATGTTGCGCTCATCTCGGACCTGAAGGGAACGAAACGCTTGATGAATCGACTGCTAATTACGGTAAAAGCTTCTGCTACATCCTGAGAAATAAAGAAACAGTTGTTCCTTAATTAGTTCTTACTCGTAAATTATTTGCACAGCCCAATACTCTGAGCTGCTCCTGCAGAGGTGGTGGGGTTACGTAACTGCAGCTCCACTTTCAGGCTCGAACATGAGCAGAATTTGGAATGTTACTTTTTTCTGACTGAACTTCAAAACCAGGACGTCCGGTAAATGTCTCTTAATCTGAAGAACTAAAAGTCCTGGCTGTTTTAAGCAGCGTTCAGTCCTGAACACCTTGAAGATCTAAAGTCATTAGTGCAATCGTCTCCTGTGACTCACGTGTCCACTGGTGAAGATCTCCCTCACCGAGTCGAGCTCAAAGAGAATCTGTTTGAACCAGAGTTCGTAGGCTGGGATGAAAATCAAAGGTTTGATCAGCATCAATACTTCATTATGTCAGAAGTTGAGGCTGAATCAACAGAAACAACAACTTGGACTTGATGTTCGGACCCGGTGAGGCCCACCTCACCTTGATGGGTGACGATGAAGAGGTGCTCGTCATGGATCTTATTACCTTTGACTTCACTCTGCAACACCTGGGCTGTGGTTATTTTGCTAAGCTGAGGGTCAGAAAAGAAAAAGGAGCTAACAGGTACTAACATGCTCTTTTTAAAGTTCAAAATCCAGATGTTGGCGTTTGTGTTTACCTGTAAATAGTCTCCGTAGATGATTCCTCCATTGCTGGCCTTGTTCACTCCAGCCTGGGAGGAGTCCTCGTCCTCTTCTGCAGGAGGTTTATTTTTGAATAACCTTGAAAACAAAACAGAATCAGCCTGTTGTTAATGTGCATCTTTTTCTTTAGTGGGATTAGTAACAGAGCAGGTTTCCATTTAACGAAAGTAGAAAATTAATCCTTTTATCACATGAAACATACAAATGTCTCTTCTCGAAGTACGGACATTCGCTCATCGTGTATCCAAACCAGTTGCAGCAACGACTTCTCCTAAAGTGATGAACGTTTTCTAAAACAGTCTTCTGTGTGATTCGTGTTTTAAAGACTCGACTCGTCCAATCAGTCGTGAGCGAGCAGGCGCCATCCGGCCCGCCTCTTATTTGTCTCGTGGTCCCTGTTGACATTAGGCTGGGACTACTTTCTGGACTTTGTTTTACCTGTTTCAGAAAAAAGCCCACCTTATTCAAATTAATTAAAGAAAATAAAACATCCTGAACACATAGGATGAAACAGCCATACTTCAGTTAAAGTTCAAACTGGATTACTGCACTGTTTTTAACTAACCGTGTTCAGTTTTGTGGCGTTTCTGTCTCGGTCATAGGACACAGGGTTTGTAACAAGGTATCGATGAGTGTAAGAACATGAACTTGTTACATAACACACACTCTTGGCATGACCTGCCCGTCTGCACTGACGTGTTCTTTAACGACGTTTCTACAAGTTTCAACTTCAACCTGTGCTAACAAAAGTTGCTTTCTTCTTTATTGGAAAAGCTCCCGTTTTAATAGTTTGAATCCGTTGACAAATTCTAAACATTTTTTCATGATGCACTCTGGAAGTCTCTGTTGCCAATCTGGAGGTCATTCATCCGTAAATATTTGCTGTTTGGTTAATATTTTCTTCAGCCCGTCATTGAAGCTGAGCAGTTGTCATGATGTTCTGAGAATAGTGCTTACAGTACTCAAAGAAAGCCCCTTTTCTGTAAAAAGGGGTTGATATTGTGTACATACCCTCGGAGTGTTGCAGCTTGTTGATAGCTGAAAAAGGGCACCCTCGCTAGACTTGTAACATCAGCCGAAGTTCATGGAAACTCTTGTTTGTTTTCAGCCACAGGTCATTTTGTTAAAAATAATGACAGGATTGTTGCTCCCTGCCACCTGGGCCACGCTGCAACCGTCACAACAAGAAGGTTCCTTCTGACCTTCAGTAACCAACTAAGAAGACATAGTCCACTCTCTAAATCTCCCAGATCTTTTGCTTTGTTTTTCACATTGTGGACTTATCAAGTCGAGTCCCACCAGTGTGCAGCGGTCCTTAAAACGTCAGAGGGATGATAATAAGCATCCATTTCTGAATTGGGACGAGGTACAAGCTAATAAGAAGCAGCAGCCTCAAAATGCTTTGTTCTGGTTCTCATTTAGCCAGGGGACTCTTGGATGAGGGGTTACGATGGATACCGTGTTTGAGATGCTGTGAAACTATCACTAGGTTCTCTGAGATTTATCCAACCTGTCCATGTGAGTGGACACAGGTGTCATTACGAATCATCTCTGAGGTCTGAGTAAGTCTCTGATTAAAAGACAGTGGAGATCTGGTTCATGTTTTTATGAAAGTTTACTAGTGAGACTGTCTGCTTGACTTTTCCTTGAACTCTGCAGTTTCCAGCTTTAAGGATGTTTTACTTTTTTTTTGTTGGTATTTTTTAAAATTCAAATAAACAAATGATTTGCCACGAGCTAGGATCTGTGATCTTAATATAACTTTTAATCATTTGCAGCTCACATCCCATCATCTTAAATGTCAGCATTCTTATCACTGAAGTGTTTAAAAGAAGACTACCGGTAATCTGACATTAAAACAAAACAGTTAGATCAGCATGTGACATGCACGCTTTTTTTTTTTTCCTTTCTGAAACTCACATGTTAGCATCAGGGGCAATTCTAGAACGGCTTTTGGCTTGAACCAGAGCCCTGTAAAGAGAGAGTCGCGACACTCTTTGAACTCGCCGATACGCGGTCACGTGGTTCATGCAGCTTCAATAGTTCCAAACAGCTCATCCCTGTCAGTCAGTTTGAGCGGCTGCTGGCGCAACACAACACAAAAATCGACTTTTCTTACTTTACCTGTGTCTTTCAGTAATTGCTGAGCAGTAACGAACTGATTACTGATCATTTCACAGACTATGCATTTTATCAAAGCGTTTTTAGAAGCAGCTGATACATTTATCATTAAATTTTAGAAGGAAACGAGACTGCAAACACATATTTGTTAGAAAATAATGTATATGCAATACAATGATCAATATAGCCATGTCAGTGTTTTATAACGTTACACACGATAAAAAAAGATCAGAGTAACTCGTGTTATAAAGTTATTCTGATGTTCTCTGCAGGATAATGCTCCACCTTGTCCTCCAGCAGTTCAGATCTGCTCCAGCTTACCTCAGAACATCTGGATGAATTCTTGATTTCTATAGAAGATATTAATTCAACCTTTATTTAAACAGGTTCGTCCCATTGAGCCTTGAGGACTCATTTACAAGAAAGACTGAATATAATTGTTGTATTTGTTTTTTTTTTATGTCAACCAAGTACCTGATAACTGAGTTGATTGTAGCCTGACAACTATTGTAAAATTGTAATTCATTGATTAAAATGTTCATTTAAATGAAACTGTTTCTAGTTAAAATCATAACAGACGACAAAATAAGTGTTAACTGTGCAAAAATAAATTTCCAAACAATTATAAAATATGTAAAATGTAAAGCAAGCTTTAATAAAGTACTTTTACTACTATTTATACTGTTTATTAATGACATCATCTCAAGTCAGCAGGAGCACCATCATCATCATCATCACAACAACACAAAGTGAGAGCTGTAAATTTAATCTGTACAAACATTTTCAATCAGGGCTCAAAATGTTGAACTGTGAAAGAAATGTGCAAGAAAATAAACTAATGTCGCTCTACAGGCACATTTAGAGAGAGGACAGTTCACAGAGACACAGTGAGGACGAGTGAGACGGAGACACAGTGAGGACGAGTGAGACTGAGACACAGTGAGGACGTGTGAGACTGAAGGAGGTTCAACCAGTTGTTCATGGACCAGAACCAGATGAGAAGAACAGCAGAACTTCCACTGACCAGTGATCTGACCAGTGATCTGACCAGTGACCTGACCAGTGATCTGACCAGTGATCTGACCAGTGACCTGACCAGTGACCTGACCAGTGACCTGACCAGTGATCACACATGTTGTTCTAAATTAAACTTTGGTACGAACAGTGTTAAATAATTCACGTCATATTTTTATTGAACAATAATCTTCATTCTAACAGTGACGTTGTAATTTCAGAGACTGAGGAAGAAACAGAAATGAGGCGAGTGAGATGAGGGACAGATGAAAATGTGTCCTCAGAGGACGGGGACATGTCAGGATCTGATGATCCAGGATCAACAGGACCAGGAGGATGGATCAACAGGACCAGGAGGATGGATCAACAGGACCAGGAGGATGGATCAACAGGCAGTCAGGGAACAGAGATGAACAACCTGAGGAACAATTAGAACAAAAAAAAACATAAGCAGGACAGAAGAAACTCACAGACAAGAAAATTAACTCAGTCCTGCGAAGAAAAATGTTAATGGAAAATAAATTGACATATTTTTACAAAAGATCAGATGAAGACAACTGGCATGAAGAAGAACTTCCAGCTCCATCTCAACGTACCTGTGATAGTTTAATAAGTGTTTTGTTACTGTCCTACAGTTTATTGATGCTGATATATTCTTGTAATAATTCTTATTTCTTGTTCTGTCTTGAAAGAGTCTCATCTCAACTTGACCCATGATTACCAAACACTAAACTAATAATATAAAACTAATGTAAATGAACAGTCCTGCAGTAAATACCAACTTTGTGAAGGTTATGGTGTTAAAGTAATTTTATTCGAACATCTTGATTCAGCTGTTACTGATTAATAGAAGACAGAAAATGAGATCTTGTACCTTTGTGATACTTTGAATGCAACATTCAGTTCATGAAGTCATTCTCCTCTGGTTTACCTGGAAGACATGAAAACATTGACTCATCTCCACAATCACGTTTTTATTTAATGATAATGTCACAACTTATGCTGCAGCCTTTGACAAATGATCTATAACTTTAACTAAATGACGTCAGTCTTGTTGTCATGTTGCCGTCATTCTTTGTTAAATCAGGTCTCTCTTGTAAATGAGTCCTGGAGGCTCAATGGGACTTACCTGTAGAATTAAAGGTTGAATGAATCTCAGGAAAAAAAGGCCAAATATTTTCTAGTTGAGTTCAGTAACTGGAATTACCATAAATTTAAAAAAGACCACCTTTCAAAATTTAAGCAGTAATAGATATTTTAAAACGCTGAATTAGAAATAGACCCGTTTAAACAGTCATGTTGCAGAGCAGCTGCAGTTAAAACACAACTAGTAATTTAACATGTTTCATTAACTAAAACTGGCGACATGAAGTATTAATGTTGATAAATTGAGGTACAGAACAGTCAGATAAAGCTTCACAATGGAGAAAAAGTGTTGCATTTGCATTAACTTACCGAAAAAACACGGAGAATGAACTACGTTCAATGCTGAACCGCTGCTGTTTGGAACTCTTTGCTGCTGCATGACCCACGTGACTTCCGCATTCCATTCTTTCTATGGGAGTCTATGGGAGTCTATGGGAGTGTCGCAACTCTCTCTTTACAGGGCTCTGGCTTGAACAACGCAGTGGCCGTTGGCATCAGAAGCACTTACAAAGTGTGTGTGTGTGTGTGTGTGTGGGGGGGGGGGGGGGGGGGCGCTGGGGGTCCCCCCCAATAAATTTTTGAATAAAGTAGATGCCATTTCCTACATTCTGGTGTATTTTAACAGGTTTTTAAACATCTATGTTTACCTACATAAGTAAACACTTGATTCAGTAACTATTTTAGAGAGCGCGGCGCAACAATAAGTAGCACTAAGCTAGTGGCGAGCAATACAGACACGCTAGCTAAGATGCTACAGATGCAGCGCTCTGCTTTACATTACACAACCTAATAAACACTTTGTACAAAATCAGTTTAGTGTTAACTGATCATAACTAACAAAGACTAAACTTACGCAACCAGAAGTTACAAAGCCAGAATGCAATGCTGTACCCCACCCCCACCTCAGCTTCTCTGACCACATCTCCATCTTTCTGGCACCTGTCTACCTCCCCTCGCAGAGACATTCCAG